GACTAAACCTGCTTTTGCACTCAAAGGTCTGATATTGATCGAGAGATCCATGAAGAAGTGTGTTGCAGTCTTTCAGTTACAGGTTGAAGAGTTATTGTGAGTTTTTTGTTTGGCTTAGAGACTAAAATTGCTAAACAAGACTGTAATCCACGACATCTCTTCATAAACCGCTTGTGGACTCGCCCTTGAACTGAAAGCATAAGCGACTTGCTCCATGATGCTCACGGTTGTTGACGTCTTTCTCTAAAAATATGTCGCAGAAAACCAGGTCATTTCAAGGCACTGATCTACTTTACTTGACATGTTGTTGGCATTAAGGATAACATTTGTTAAAAAACAACAACAAACAAACAAACAAAAAATCTAATGACAGCATCATCTATCTGCATTAAAACTAAATTTTTGTCATGAAATAAAAAAAACACTTCTGAAGAAAAAGTCATATTTTAGCAGGCTGTACAAAAAAGCTGCAAAAAAAAAAAGCTGCACTGCAAAATGTGTGTATGAGTGTATTCATGGAAGTAAGTGTTCTTCTTTGTAGTCAAGCCTCAGAAACGTTGCATCTGTGGGTTTGAGTGCAGACATGAAGAAAAGAGGAAATGATGTAGCTAAGATGTAGCTATGTGGGTATAACATGCAAACACTGTGAAATCATCCAGCCTCGTCATACAGTGCATCCAGAAAGTATTCAGTGCTTCACAGGCCTGTCTGTGAATGTCCTTGAGGTGCTCAGAGTCCAGGTTTAAACACGAGTTAGCATCTGAAATTGGCCTGCAGGAATACTCGCCATCCAACCTGTTAGAACTCGAGAGGTTCTGCAAAGAGGAATGCTGCCCCAAACTGCCATGTGTCAACTTTTGAGATGAAAAATGAATTTAATATTTTTGAAATAAGACTTCAAAATAACAACACGCATGAATATATATTGCAGCAGGTAAAATAAGTGTTGAACTCTAAATGGTGCTACTGGCATGAAATTCTCACCAGATGTTGGTAACAACCAATCCACACAAGCAAAGAAATAAAACCATTAGATGTACATGAGTCATGTGTAATGATGAGAAATGAGACGGGGGAAAAGTATTGAACACATGAAACATGAAACATGACACCAGCTGAAATCTATCTGTAATTAGAAACAGACCTATAAAGTAATTAATCAATCTGATCAATCACCAGTGACCACTGATCAGTTACCATTGATCATTGATCAACAGCTACTGATCAATGTCCATGAGTCCCATTCACAGAGAGTTGGTCAATGGCTGCAGTCATAGCATTGTAAGATGGTGACAGACACTTTCAGAGGCACATGACTGTCAAAATCTGCACTCAGAAGGCAACTTCTGTGCTTGTTTGTGCTTTGGTATGAACCTTCCAGATCCCTCAGGTCATCTGGATCCGGTCTTTTATCAGTTCCCAGAGTCAGAACCAGACACGGAGAAGCTGCATTCAGCTTTTATGCTCCTTATATCTGGAACAAACTCCCAGAAAGCCTCAGATCAGCTGAAACACTCAGTTTATTTAAATCCAGGTTGAAGACTCACCTGTTCTCAGCTGCATTTGAATAAAGCACCAAATCCACACTTTAAGCTTAAATTTCAAAACTTACATTTAACTACTTATTTTATTTGATTTTATCTGTTTTGATTTTTGATTTTATATACAGGTTTGTTTGTTTGTTTGTTAGTTTGCTTGTTTTAATCAATTTTTAATCATTGTTTTTGTTTCTAATAAATCTGTAAAGCACTTTGAATCACCTTGTTGTTGAATTGTGCTATACAAATAAACTTGCCTTTGGTTATAGCATCGTCCCATCAGGTCATTTTATTGTTTCTATTTAATTTTCATCACCAGGCAACAGTGAGAAGGCGGGCTCTCCCAATACAAGAATGTTTGACTCGGAGAATAGCACAGACTATGACTACGATAACTACGGTAAGTTCAGAGCACCTGCACAACACAAACACTTTGTTTAGTAACACAAGTATTTCTGAGCTGTACTCACAGCAGCTTCTGTGCTTTCTTGTGTCTTTCTAGATAATGAGCTCGGCCTCATGAACGAGGTGAGTCATCTTTTTTTTCAGACGTATTGGTGAAGGACAAATTTGCAATATTTAACTGAAAGCTTCCTTTCCTTGTTTTGTCACATACTGTATGTCATGTAATAACGATCAAATTAAACACAGCCAAACTGTACGTGTGTTTAACATCAGAAAACCCAGATTTTTTTTTATGTTTGAGCTTAAATTTGTATTTTTTAAACTTCAAATGTTAATATTGGAAATAATTAGAAAAAAAAATCCGACTTTATATTCAGGAGGTTTTAATTTCTGACAGTTTACTTCAACTTTGACTTCAACAATCCTAAAACTAAGCACAGCTAAGCAGAGATCAGCCATCAGTGTTTAGTTGACTTTTATTTTTCCGACGTTACTTCAAAACTACAAGTAAAGCTGGCGTGTAAGCCCGTCACTCACCTGTGGCTTTTTAGTTGGTCTCACTTTCCTGCAGACGCTTGATAAACAGTTTCTGTCCCGTCTGCATGTTTGTGGTTTTGTGTCACGTATGTGAGGAACACCTGAACTCAAACACAAGCCTGTGAGCTTGTTGTAGAACGATGATGTGGAGCACCTTTGAGCTTTTATCATCTCAATATGGTGAAAATATCTGAGTGATGTTCGCTTCATTGAATCTGTGCTGTGAAGAATAAAGGAAGCTGTGAAGGAAATAAGGATTCTGATGTGGTACCAGCACGCCATCTGTAACAAACTAATCACTTATGTTGATGACAACAACTTATTTTTATCTGATGACAGAATTTTAATGACATTACAATCCATGAATGTTGGCAGCATCACCCACAAAAGAAGCGTCATCGGAAAATTCCAGCATTTTTAACCTTTGCGTTTGGGCGTGCATGGCTGCCAGTGGCCAGTTTAAGTTTACCCAGTATAAAAACAATAAAGTTTATGGCGTGAAATTTGTGCCAGAAGAACATTTCTGCATGTGTGTTTGTGTCACATCAGTCAAATAACTATTTGACCTCTGTGTGACCTCTCTCAGGCTTCAGGGATTGGTCAGATGAAACTGCTGCCTCTGCTGGGATTGGCTGTCCTTCAAATCTGGAACTGACTGTGGGCGGAGCAACGACAGAGATCATAGTGATGATAAGACGGTCATCAGTGAAACACTGCGTGAAAATGCAACAAAAAACGACATTATCTTGCTATCTGGGATGAAAACTGTAATAAAACGTGGAGAAAATAAAAGCTTTTGATTTGTGAAGTGATTGTTTGTGCGTTTTGGATCAGCTCTGACCTGAATTATGTTAGCGTGCCTAACAATTATCAGCACTTACTTCTCAACTTCTTTTAAAATATTTTGCATAACCAGGTGAATGAAAGCTTGATCGAGTGTCTTTCTGCTGTACATCCTTCAGATGTTAGACTTAGCAGTAAAATTAAAGCGTTATTTAAAAGGCCGTAAAACCACAGCCAGTCTTCTTTTCCTGCAGTGACAAACGAAGCAGAAATGAAAGTTGTTGGATGCGCCGTGCTGTTGGCCGTCAGAACTGAAAGGAACAAAAACACTGCCAGCTTAACTGTAGGAAAAAGGAAAGAGCAGCCTGACAGCTGTCAGTCTGTCCAGCCTCGTGTTAGGAATCATCATTGCTCTTCACAGGTGATATTTTCTGAAAACTGAACTTCCTCCAGCCGTCAGATGTTGTTGTTGTTTTTTACTTTATGAAGCTAATTTGTAACCATGTTTTATTGTTGTACAAATCTGCTTCATGGACACTTGTTACTGAAATATTTGTTTTATTTTATGAAGAAAATACAATTTTCTATTAAAGTCGTGCCATAAATCAAACATTTCTAACCAAGAAAATATATTCACCTTTTAATTAATAAAATATAAGTACAGGGTAAGTGTCAGAGACCAACCAGAGGCCAGAACTCCACAAGCAAGAAGCTCTGTACAGAGTTATGAGCATCTAAGAGTAAGTGAGTAAAACACACCAGAGCCCCTGCAGCAGGCTCACCTCAGCACCTCAGAGACTCTGGATGGTTCAAGCTCAGACATGTTCAAATAGTTTTGGTAAATTGTCTGCAGAAATTATGTCACTCAGCAGGTTTACCGGTTTTGTTTTGTTTTTTAGAAACTCTGCATAAGCAGGAGGAGAAGGTGGGTGCAGCCCCTCGGCTGGCTTCCAAGAAGACTTCTTTACTTAGAAGAAAGTGGACGTTTGATTCAGTTCAGTCTTATTCATGTTGCTCCAAATCACAGCAATAACAGCCGCCTCAAAGTGCTTTACATCATAAGGTAAAGACATCCCCCCGTCACCATCTCTCTCTGCCTCGCTCTGATCACGGCGTCCTGCTGTGGTGAGTTACTTTATCCCAACATGTTCTCACTCCCTAAGCGTAATATTTGACGCTGGGTGACAAATCGTAACATTTTACGCTTTTGCAGAAGGTCACCTTTCGCGTTCCTCATGAACGCCCCGAGAGTGAGAACGGGCTGGTTTATCCACCCTGGTTTTATTTGTTGTTGTTATGTGTGCGTGTGTGTGTTTAAGTCACAGCATTATTTTTCTGATGTAAATTAAAAATCACTGAACTGTTACAAACAAATTCCGCTCTTTTTATGTTTATTTCTTAATCATGAAAATAATTAGAAGAACAGTCCTGATGTTGTGTGTGACACTTACACGAAGAGCAGAGTCAGTGACAGCCTGTTTCACTGTTACCGACGCTGCTTCATTTACTCCAATAACATAAAAATAAACACATTAAACTTGCTCCATAGAGCAAAGTCACACCTGGAATTGTTCTGGGTCAGTTTCAACCCAGTATTTTGAGTTCCTTATGTTTTGGTTTATTTTGCATGTTGGAGTGTTTTGGGGTTGTCTGGTGTTTTGATTATTTGTGATGTATTATATTACTGTGATTCTGGTTTAGGGTTTTTGTTCGCAGGTTTTGTGTGAGTTTAGTTCTGTGTCCTGTCTGCGTCCTCGTGTAGTGTTTTCTTGTTTCCTGTTTTATTGTGAAGGTCTGCGTCTCATGTGAGTGTGTTCAGTTTTACAACTTGTCTCATCTTGTTGATTACTCCCAGCTGTGTCCCCACCTGTGTGTGATCTCCCTGTGTTTCTCTGTCTTTGTAGTTGCTGGTCTGTCTGTCCACCCACCACGTTTCATTTGTGTGTTCCCTGCAGTCATCGTCATGTACCATCGTCTTCCTTCCTTTATGTCCAGGTTGGTGTTCTTGTTCATGCTCAGTAGTTTAGTTGTCCCAGTATAGTTTTATTTCTCCGTTTGCCTATCTATACTTCGTGTTCAATAAATCACCTTCACGGCTGCCTGCGTTTGGATCCTCCTTTACCTTTTCCACGCGGCTCTTCTCACTCGCCGTGACAGGAATTCTGTTTAAATGTGGATAACAGGCAGTGCAACATTTATAAAGAAAAAGATTTTGGACCCAAAAATATTTAAATGAGCATTTCTGAATATCAATAAAACATCTGCATATTTACCAAAAAACCCAAAAACCAAAAAAAGAACCAACCAAACCAACTGCATGAATACAGGTGTGGATGTGTGTTGTAGGCACTGTTCCAGTTGAACCTGTTCTCATTTTGGACAGATGTTGAGTTTGTGAGCTTCTCTCAACTTAACATCTGCAATAATCCCTGAAGAAGCTGTTTGGAGCATCACTGGATGTTCTGCCGTGCAGAGAAATAAAAGTGCAAACCTTTGAGCTGCAGGTGAAGCCGCTATTCGACTCTCATCATGGCAAAGCTTCTCTGAGTGGACTGTAGTTCCCGTTTACAGCCAAAAGGGGGCACTGCTGCACCTCACAGACCACAATGTGATTCGTCTTGATGCATCTCAATCATCCAGGTAAGTAAATCTCCAAAAGTTGATTCTGTTCATCTGGTTCATCTGTTCATCAGCGTCTGCAGGTCTCAATCTTATAAACAGGATATTTGCATATTGACTGAAACCAGCCCACTGAGGGAACAACGGGCTGGGAGGTCAATGGTACTCATGGCCATTGGTCAGTGGTTGTTGATCAATGGTCATGAGAATTTGCATAATTATGATTAGGGAACTGACCTCCCAGCCCATTGTTCCTTCACTGGACTGGTTTCCTCCTCCTTCTTTATCCATCCTGCTTCGTCTTTGTGTTGGTGCCACTGTCTCCAACCTTACATCCCAGCAGCTCTCACTAACATCTTCTAAACCTTCACGTTCTGATTTTTTTCTCTTAGTAATTTTACACTGCCTCTGCTGTTTGAACATTAACCTCAGACAAAAACAAATACAAATATTTTATTACACAAGCAGAACTTAAACATCCAAATAATACAAAACTGCAGAGATGCTCAGATAAAAAAACAAAACCTGCTGCAAGAATCCATATAAACAAACAGGAAGTGCTGCGGGCAGGTAGTTGATGATCGATCTTTAGTGAGTTCATCGATGACACTAATGACCATCGGGAAGTGTCCCGCGGTCTGGTCCTGTGTGCCCTCAGCGGTCTGGAATGAAAACAGAACATGTTCATTATGTTTGACCTTAAAGAGAAAAACCATTCAACCTGTGGAGTCACGTGTACAGCCCACAGGGCCAGGTGGCCCACAGGTTTCTTACATGCTACCACAATTTCCCACAATTTCATGTAACTTTAGAGGATTGTTGTAACTTCTGGCTCTTTTTATTACCATGCATCCACATGTTCAAACCACTAAAGGTTATTTAAAAGGGCAGAGGGAGATGCAGGATGCTGAAAGGAAAGACTGCTCACAGCAGGTTTACAGGAAGTTTGTTTTGGTATCAAAACCATCAAACTCCTAGATGAATACCGAACCAATAATAAACTAAACAAGAAAACATAATTAATATAAGAAAATAATATTGAGTAATACATTAAAAAGATGAAATATTGAGTCAGTTAAAAACCAGTTAATATTTTCTGCTTTTTATGTGACATTTTTATCTCAGTGTCTATCTGCTGTGTTCTGCCATCATCGTGATGAGTCTCTGTTCTCACCTGGTGGCAGGTGGTTCTTTCCTCCAGCAATCAGTTCCAAAGATGAAGGACGGCCAATCCTAGTGCGAGGACCAGAATCGGCTGACCAGTCCTCGAGACCTGAGAGAGGTCACACAGAGGTCACACAGAGGTCACATTTATTTATATTTGAAGTTTGTGACACAGACAAATTTTTAAAATATTTATTCTTTTGTTATTTGTTGTATTTTCATTTTTTTCATTCTCTGTATTGTGAAGCACTTTTGTGAAATTCGTGAAAAGCGCTATATAAATAAATTTAACTTACTTACTTTTTTTTAAAACTTTTATTTAACCAGGAAGATCCCATTGAGATCAAAAACCTCTTTTGTTTCTGTGTCTCACAGTTATAGAAATTACTCAATTAAACACAGGCAGCAACAACACACATGCAAAAATAAATGGAAAATAAAATGATAAAATAAAAATCAAACAAAAATTTAAAAATTCAGTTAAAATGACAGTCAAACTGAAACAGTTGCATGTTATTGACTTGGCCTCAAGGATTCTTAGTTTAGATTTAAAAGCACTTTAATGTAATGAATTCAGCCTTTTCTGCAACGACTGTCTCGACTGTAAAGTGCGTGTATTTAAAATATTAACTGTAAAAAACAATCTTTTAAAACTTTAAACTTGTCCTCCGACCAACAGCCAGCTGAGCAACATTTGTCTGCAGTTTATACAGAGAAATAAAAACAGTGTTTAAAAAGACTCATTGCTGACCCCTCGTGGTGAAGAGAATTGCAGGCAGTAGTCTAAGGAGCTTGGAAAGAAAAGCGTCTGGACTTCTTTAAGTTGCTTGAAGACGTTTCACCTCTCATCCGAGAAGCTTCTTCAGTTCTAAGGTCAAATGGTGGAGAGTCCCAGATATAAACCTAGTGGGAGTTTCCCCCCACAGAGGGACAAAAGGACCCCTGATGATCCTCTAATCGCCTGAGCCAAGGTGTGAAACTGGGTGTGGGTCCCAATCAGCCAGAGTTTCGGGTGAGCTCATTGTGAAACCTGGCCCCACCTTATCATGCGAATTCCTGAGGTCAGATGGCCCAGGATGTGAGTGGGCGTTAAGGCGTCTGGGGAGGGATCTCAAAACTGGATTATAGATGGCAGAGAGTTGGTGTTGTAAGCCCCGCCTCTGTTCAAAGATGGTCGCTCACAGTGGACATAGATGCTTCTTTCACTCCTCTTTCAAACCATCTGTCCTCTCTGTCCAAAATGTGAACATTGGACAGAGAGGACAGATAGAACCAGCTGTTTAAAACAGGCGTGTCCAACTCCAGGCCTCGAGGGCCGGTGTCCTGCAGGTTTTAGATCTCACCCTGGGTCAACACACCTGAATCACATGATTAGTTCATTACAAGGCCTCTGGATAACTTCAGCACATCTTGAGGAGGTCATATAGCCCTCTGCATCGGCTGTGATGGATCAAGGACACATTTAAAACCTGCAGGACACCGGCCCTCGAGGCCTGGAGGTCTCACTCCTGATTTAAAAAGTAGATATTGTTCCAATTTCCATCTTTTTATTCTTGGCCAGATTCACTGTTCACAATAATCCGTATTATTCTTTTGCAGCTCAGTTCATCCTCTCATAAACAAAAGATTTAAACTACTCTTAGTGTGGCTTCTGTGCTTGACATGACCATATAACGAAACTGGTTCTCCATAGTAGGAGGATCTGAAAAAAATCTGTGTGAAACTGAGTGTTTCTGAAGCCTGAGACTCACAGTGATTGTACGTTTCAGGTTATGTTTCATCGTGAACATTGATTTAAATGAAATACTATGATTCTGTCCTTTCCCAAAACATGTGAACACCAAGGAAGGAACAGATAAAAATGTAATTTCTCACCGTATTCCTGGGATTATACACTTTATTTTCGGGAACCTCATTTGGGATGGTCATGGTAGCGGAGACTTCATTGTCCTCTGTGCTGTTTGTGGCGTTATGAGCCATGGTCACTAAGAACACAGACACAGGAAGCACAGATAGGGCTGTCAGTACCGCAAAGTGCTACTTCTGTTGCTAACAGTCGCTATGCTGTGTGGCTCCTGTGCTTTTACCGTAGTAGTAGTCAAAGGTGGCATTGTAGTCATAGTCGTCATCGTATTCAGGTGTTGGTGTGTAGTTATCATCTTGAAGACTTCCTGTATTTCCTGTGGAGGGAAATAAAGAAGAAACATCAACGTGTTGAAAGATGGATTTAAGGGAAAGAGTCTTTTTTTTTTTCCCCAGTGTGTAAACCGTAGCATCAAATAAGTGAAATGTTAGCATAAAACGCGTGGTCTGGATGAGCTGCTGAAGTTCAAACTGTGGTTGTTGGTGTCAGACAGGCTGGTCTCAGTATTTCAGACAATGACACGAGTCCCAATTCATGTCTCGCCATGCTTCCTGTTTTATTTTGAAAGTCTCTTGTTTCCACGTTCAGTGTCTTTAGTTTTGCTCCCGTGTGGTGTCATGTTCATTGGTGCCAGCTGTGTTTCCCAGGTGTTTCCACTTCCCTCATTCTCTCCTGTGTATTTAAGTCCTCAGTCTCTTATTTCACGCTAAAGTTTGCATGTACTTGTTTAGTTTCATGTTCTAGTTTTCATGCTTGGGTATGCCCCTGCCCGCCCTGCCTTGTTTTGTGTTCATGCATTCAGCCTAATAAACTGCTCGCTTTTTGTTATACTTAGTTTCTTCTCTTCTGCGTCTGCTTATGAGTCTGCTTCACAGACACACCGTGGCAGGAAGCATGGATCTATCCTGCTTTGTGTCAGCGGTTCAGGCTGGAGATGCTGAGGGTGTAATCGCGTGTTGGACGTGATGAAGCTTTTCTCTGTTGCAGACACACATCCTCATTTTATTATGAAAAGAAAATCTAAGTGACTGAGAGCGGGGACTTCAAAACTCCTGTATAAAAGAAGAAAACTGAGGTTTACCAAAATCCCCTCTCTCATTTTGTTTTGTTATCTAATATCTACATTTAAGTGGATGTGAGTACCGACAGTCCTGCTCATATACCAACGAGACGGTGACTAAAAATCACTTGAGAGTTAATGATTTGCAGCTGAGACTGCACTCCGATTACACACTCGGGATTAGACTCGGGGGACTTGGCGGTAATGTGATCACCTTCCTGTGGTTGTATTTTTAGACCTCGTTTACCAGAACAATCGGCCACTTCTGGTTTAACCGTCTGTTACGCACATTTTTAAAGACCTGATCATGAAAGAAACGATTATCAACAAAGCAAATATTATATTCCCTTCATGTTCACTTCTCTGTGTTCATAATACAAGACCGAAACATTAAGAACTACAATTTAGCCATTTTCTTTAACCTTATGGGAATTACAGAGACATTTCCATTTATATTTAGTCTCTAAACTAAGAAGGACAATTTTGTCCAGAATTTATTTTTATAATATTTTATAATAGATATAAAATTCTAGGATGTATTAGGAAGAACCGTCATCTAGTTATTTAGGTTTGGAAGATGGCTTTAAGGCAAATAGTTTCCCTCCAGTAAACTGGTTTTACCAAAGATTGACACATTCAGGAGGAAAGCTGGAAAATAAAATGGTTAGAGAGCAAAGGATGGACGGATACTGAAATGACAAACTGAAGAACTGCAAGAATAAATAGTAGTTTATAAAGTTCTGGAATGAATAAATCTGAGAAAAAAAAACCTGCTTTCTAGTTTTCATGGTAATATTTTGAATATCAACAAC